GGGGGTGGCCTAGGCTCTCCTGGTAGTTGGAAGAGGGACAGCTTTCTCCTCCTGCCAAGAGCATGGCCTGAATCTTCCCCCACCCCCCACCCAGAAGAGCGCTTTTGGTCTCTGAATGCATAGCCAGCCCAACCAAGGGGGAGCATTTTAGCAGTTCGACCCCTTTGCACACGCTGTCAGGAGGATGAGCATGTTGGGGATGGGGAGGAGGGCAGCACAGAGGGCTAGGTTTAGAATTTGGGGGGTGAGTGTAATGGAAGGAAATTAGGGTTATAGCTGGAGCTGGACTAGGCCTGGGCTAAGCTGGGTGGAAGACTGTGTGGAGCTCTGCGGGAGCCAAGAGTAGGACAGGAATGCATGTTCCCACCCTGCCCTCTTTCCTCTAAACCATCTTCAGGAGCCTGGCAGGGAAGCAGACCTCTGATCATGCCCAGTCACCCCAGTTCCTCGGCCTGAGGCTCTAAAATACCCTGACCCCGAACCTCAGCATTTTCCCGTCAGGCAGCTGGCTTTGGGGGAGTCATTTGGGCTACCACATTGCACAGTTCCTGGGGGTGCCACCCACCAAATATGCTGTGCAACTGGCGCCCCTGGGAGTTGTGCAGTGTGCAGCCTAGGCATACAGCAGCCCTGGGGACTCTGCAAGATGAGGGGCTCTGAGCCTGGGGCCCCAAACCTACCTCCTCATCTCTCCCAGCACCTGCACCCTCTGGACCTTACCCATAGTGCTCAAAGTAGAAGCAGGTTTAGGTGGCAGCTCCCACCCCTGACTCAGTGATGTGGCCCCAGCCAATCTGGGCCTTGGTTTACATGAAGTAACATGTAACATGAAGCTCATCTCTCCCCCAGAGCTGGTCCTTACTCCCTGCCACAGGGCTCTGCCACTTTGCCACCCTGCTGGCCCTGTTGGTGTTTCTGAAGGCTCTGGCCCAGGTGGACACCGAGAAGATGGAAAGAGCCCAGTGTGGGGTCCGTCCTAGAGCCTGCTACTCCATCCGATTCCTCCAGCTGCCTGCGCTCCCTCTCAGCCACTGTCTTCAGTCCCCACAGGTGGGAATGGGCCACCCTCTCAGCCAAGCCCTGAGGCTCCTCGGCCAGGGACCCCAAAGTCCCTTGGAGGGGGTAGGGGAGCATGGGAGGAGAGCCAGAGGTGATTGTAATTGTTCACAGTAGCCCTTATCCACCGCTGCGCCCACCAGCTCTCCCTAGGGCCCCCAGGGAGCCCCAGCAGGGGCTGAGCCTTACTGCCTGGAGCTCAGCCTTCAGAGACCCATGTGGGTATGGCCGCAGGTACCCATATGTCTGTGCACGTTACCCGGCAGTGAGCGCGAGGAAGAGTGCTGGGTATATGAGGTGGGTCTCTGGAGAGCAGGGAGGGTTCTTAATAGGCCCCAATCCAAGGTCTCAAAGTGATCACAGTTAACCTTAGGAGGGACCTTAAAGACCATCTCACTGGCCTCATGGGACGGTGGCACCTGGGCCAGGAATGCCTTCTGGGGGAAGGAGGAACTTGCCAGAGGACAGAGTGGCTTCTGGACACACGGCTCTGCCTGCAGGCCAGGGTTGGTCTGAAGACCTGCTCTGAACCCCACTGACGCTTCTGTCTGTCTGTCTCCCTTACTTCCCTGAGCCTGAGTCTTCTAGATCTTAATCCTGAGCCAGTCCTGTAATCCTCAGCCCCCAACTAAAGGCCCTTGGACGTGGGTTCCGATGTTGGCAATGCCACCAGTTGTGTGTGATTCAGGCTGGCTTCTTCCCTGTCCTCCATAGAAGAGCCTTCCAGCATTAATTTTCTGCCCGTGCTCCACACCACCCTTGAAAGCCAAGGGAGCTTTTATTTATTCATTTACTTATTAGTTTTTTGTTTTTAATCCTCACTGAAGGATATTTTTCCATTGATTTTTTTTTTT